AATATTTCAGGACATTGGAAAGAGTGAAGAGCTGAAGGAACTGTCCAAGGTCTTGAAAGTGCTGAAATTTTTCAGGACATTGGATAGTGTGAAGTGCTGAAGGAACTTTCACAGGTCCTGACATTGCTTAAATATTTCAAGACATTGGATAGTGTGAAGAGCTGAAGGAACTGTCCAAGGTCCTGAAAGTGCTGAAATTTTTCAGGACATTGATGGAGTGAAGAGCTGAAGGAACTTTCCAATGTCCTGAAAGTGCTGAAATATTTCAGGACATTGGACGTTGTGAAGAGCTGAAGGAACTGACAAAGGTTCTGAAAGTGCTGACAATGGATGGTGTGAAGAGCTGAAGGAACTCTCTAAGTTCCTGAAAGTGCTGAAATATTTCAGGACATTGGCAAGTGTGAAGAGCTGAAGGAACTGTCCAAGGTCTTGAAAGTGCTGAAAGTTTTCAGGACATTGGATAGTGTGAAGTGCTGACGGATCTGTCACAGGTCCTGAAATTGCTGAAATATTTCAAGACATTGGATAGTGTGAGGAGCTGAATGAACTCTCCAAGGTCCTGAAAGTGCTGCAATATTTCAGGATATTGGACAATGTGAAGAGCTGAAGGAACTTTCCACGGTCCTGAAAGTGCTGAAATATTTCAGGACATTGGATAGTGCAAAGAGCTGAAGGAATTGTCCAAGGTCTTGAAAGTGCTGCAATATTTCAGGATATTGGACAATGTGAAGAGCTGAAGGAACTGTCCACGGTCCTGAAAGTGCTGAAAAATAGTGCATCAAATGGGGACCACATGCTTGAGTTATACATTGTCCCTTTTTTTTAAAAAGTTTCATCTATTTCTTCCAACTGGTATTTGTTATCTACAACAGGAGTGTCAAACACTGTTACACAAATGGCCAAAATTGTAAACTTGGTCCAAACCAAAAGCCAGTTTCTGTCAACATTTACTGAAACAAATTTTTAACCAATTATTCTCATACAATTACTTTTTCTAACACTTAACTTAGAAAAACTCATTATTTTTTTACCTTACTCTCTTTCAACAATATTTTTAAAGAAAAAAAGCCTTCTCTCTAAGAAATTTGACTTTGAAATAAGAAGACAAGACAGAAAACAATCATGCTGTCCACCTGCCATAAGAAGAATGCACTAAATCCAGTGAAAAAAAGAGAAAACATTAAAATTATTACCTTAGGGTCTGAAAAAATGTTAATGAGGGCCAGATTTAGCCCACGGGCCTCAAGTTTGACACATGTGAACTACATGAATAATACTTTTCTAAACCTGACTCTGTTGATCTTCTCATAGATTTTGAGCTTGAAAGCTCACTAGAGGAGGATCTGCTGTCTCTGAGTGAAACCCAGGAACCCTCGTCTCGACTGGACTGGCTTCTCCAAGAACTGGTTTCCCTTCGAGAAGCTTTCTCCCAGGAGGACAGCGAGTCTGGAGCTCAGGCCGAATGGCTGGCTCTCTGCTTGCGGCTCGACTGCCTACTGTTCTGCCTTTACCTGTTTGTCCTGGCCTTGTACACAGGAACTCTGCTGCTGCTCTGGGCCATTTGGAGCTTCGCCTAATATGACAACACACTTACTGCCAATCATTTAATACTTATGTTGCTCACTACATTTACGTTCATTTAAATGAATCAAGTTTATTAATGAGTTGCTACTAATTATTATTATTATTATTATTTGTTTAAAAAAAGGCCTAAAGTACGAACAAGGTTTAGGACCATTGGAGAAAAAAAGTCTGAGTTTAATCACTGAGTTATCATTATTTTTAATTCTGACTATTATTTTTATTTTAATTCATACTTTTTTTCATCAGAATTAGGAAAAAGTCAGAATCCTGATCTCAAAGTCAGAATTCTGATTTTTTTTCAGAAATCCAAGAATAAAGTCAGAATTATGTTTTTTCCCAGTGGGTCTATCATTTTTTTAAACTAAAGAGTCAATCATTTATCCTGCAGAAAATATAATTGTTTACATGAATATGGATTTTTTTTTGTGCACGGCCCATTTTATTTAATTCTGGTGGTGGTTCATTTTTAAAACTGAAGTGTTTTTCTGATCATTGCCTATTCCCAAAACCTCACTTGGTTCAGTGTTGATGATGAAAACTTCCACGATTTTTTTTATAAAATCCTAATATGTCAAATTGTAAATAATATAAAAAGTCAAAAATTTAAAATCTCCTTTTCCAATTTTTTAAACAATTTTATCAAAATCTTCTTGCTTCTATATTTGTAGCTGTTTTCAGTAGTACAAACCCAGAAAAACAATATGTAATTTGTTTGAAACCAGAGCTAATCTGCTATATTCTGTCTATAACCTTCAGCACTCTCTCCACTGTAACATCATCACTTTGACAAAGACATTACTGTGTCAGCTCTGTTATTATGTTTCCCGACAGTAAAGATTTACTCAGAGATACTGTATAATACGGCGGCTCTCAGGAGGAAATTCTCACTGCCTGTTTGGTGTTATGATATCATATTCATACTTTAATCTGCAACCTTCTGCCACAAAATAGATCAGTAAAAACCTTCCGTATCTCAGCCGCTGCGTCTCTGTTCCCTGTTGGTTTTCTAATAGTTGTGATAAGAATATTAAAAGTGCATTACAGAAGTCCTGCTGCTGGAACAATCCATATTAATGCAGTTTTGTTAGTATTTGCAAACTGTTGTTTGAGTATATTTGGTTACACAACGCTGCACAACAGAACAGAAGGTAAAACTTTTATCACTTTGTTTTAAAGTACTTTCATTAGGAGTTTATGTATTCATTGTGCTTTAACTACGCATGTGGTAAGAATTTCTTTTTGACAAATTTTTTTTTCTTTTAAACTATTAAATAGGAATAAGTTGTTTTGATGGATATAAATAAAAAAAATCTTTACCAAAAATGTTGTGGAACCTCCTTTTCTGAAACACTTAAAATGACCCTAAAATGCATTTAGAAAGACATCTTCAGCTGAAGTCTGGTTCTGAAGAAAGACGATACAGCGTGCAAAATAAGAATTAAACACGTCACCGTTTTTCTCAGTAAATATATTACTAGAGGTGCTAATGACATGAAATTTTCACCAGTTGTCGGTAACAATACAAGTGATCCATATATACAAAGAAATCAAACCATAAATGTCCAGAAATGAAGTTATTTGTAATAATGTGGAATGGCACAGGGAAAAAGTATTGAACACATGAARAAAGGGAGGTGTAAAAAGGCATGGAAAGCCAAGACACCAGCTGAACTCTCTCAGTAATTAGAAAGCAAGCCTGCCCCTTGTCAGTGCAAGTTAATATCAGCTGGTTCAGTCCCAAATGATGACCAGGTATCACACAAGAACCATCTCACGATGGGTAAAAGTAAAGAGCTCTCTCAAGTCCTTCACAACCTTATTGTTGCAAAGCATAATGATGGCATCGGTTACAGAAGAATGTCTAAACTTCTGAAGGTTCCAGTGAGCACTGTTGGGGCCATAATTCAGAAGTGGAAAGAACATTATTTCACCATAAACCGACCACGACCAGGTGCTCCTCGCAAGATTTCTGACAGAGGAGTGAAAAGAATTATCAGAAGAGTTGTCCAAGAGCCAAGGACCACTTGTGGAGAGCTTCAGAAAGACCTGGAATTAGCAGGTACAATTGTTTCAAAGAAAACAATAAGTAATGCACTGAACCACCATGGCCTGTATGCACGCTCACCACGCAAGACTCCACTGCTGAAGAAACAGCAAGTTGAAGCTCCTTTAAAGTTTGCTGCACAACATTTAAACAAGCCTGTGTAATACTGGGAGAATATAGTCTGGTCAGATGAGACCAACATTGAACTGTTTGGATGCCAGAATACACATCATGTTTGGAGGTCAAATGGCACTGCACATCAGCCCAAAAACACCATACCAACAGTGAAGTTTGGAGGTGGGAACATCATGGTGTGGGGCTGTTTTTCAGCATATGGTACTGGCAAACTTCAAATAATTGAAGGAAGGATGAATGGAAAAATGTACAGAGACATTCTTGATAAAAATCTGCTTCCATCTACCAGGATGATGAAGATGAAACGTGGCTGGACATTTCAGCAAGACAATGAGCCCAAACACAAAGCCAAGGAAACTCTCAGTTGGTTTCAGAGAAAGAAACTAAAGCTGCTGGAATGGCCCAGCCAATCACCTGACCTGAATCCAACAGAAAATCTATGGAAAGAACTAAAGATCAGAGTTCGTAGAAGAGGTCCAGGAAACCTTCAAGATTTGAAGACTGTTTGTGTGGAAGAATGGGCCAAAATCACACCTGAGCAATGCATGCCACTAGTTTCTCCATACAGGAGGCGTCTTGAAGCTGTCATTGACAACAAAGGCTTTTGTACAAAGTWTTAGATAAATTTCAGTAAGTGTGTTCAATACTTTTTCCCTGTGCCATTCCACATTATTACAAATAACTTCATTTCTGAACATTTATTGATTTCTTTGTATGTATGGATCACTTGGGTTGTTACCAACATCTGGTGAAAATGTCATGTCATTAGCACCTCTAGTAATATATTTACTGAGAAAATTGGTGACATGTTTAATACTTATTTTACCCGCTGTATAATATCAGATACTATCTTACCTGTTGATGATTGCTCGTTGAATKAACTTAAACATATTTGCATTCAGTGCAGTGAATCCAAAATTAAGATTACATTTTGACTCATAATTAAAACACCCAAAAGTATAGCTTTCAGTTTATTAAACATGCAGACTTTGTCATCTGCAGGTTAGATAACTCATGCCTGAAAGCTTTTTGACTGATAATCAGTGCATCATGCAGTTCCAGTGCTGTTGTATAATAAAATTAAATCATTTCTCAAAAAGCTGACACACGATCTGGTCTCCCGAGTTCCTCTGCTCTTTCTGCTGCTTTGTTCAACAAGGAGGCGTGGCGTCAGAGCAGACGGATCCACTCATACGAGCTGATGTGACGTTAATAAGATTTTCAAATCGGATGTAAGCGAAGTGATGCATTTAGCTGAACGATGCGGAGGATAGGGGGTGTCGAGCATCCCGAGGCCCATCATCAGAGCAACAGGAAGACCATCAAAGCAACAGACCAGAACACGGGTCAGCCGGCACCATGAGGCTCTCATCAGGCTGGACGGCTCTTCTTTCCCTTCTGATTCACGGAGCATCAACAGCCTGCACRGGTACGCTTCATTCTCATTCGCCTTTCATTGAAATATGCTAAAATTGCATTTCCAGGCAACACTTATGGCAAACATCCCCAGACACACTGATGACTGAAAAGTTTTGTATTTATAGAAGTAAACACCTTGTTTGACATTGATTGTCCATAGTTTATATTCTTTTGCAGAGTTTGTGTTTAGTAATAAATTAATCAGGCTTAGATAAACAGTTCAGTTCAACAGGCGTAAATGACCTTAAAGGCAGCTTTTTTTTAACTTTTTATACTATTAGTTGTAACTTAATCAATTAAGTAAACTAATATTTAGAGTTATCAAACAATAAGGGAAAATGCCAGCATTATAAAGCATACAATAAATTCTGATGAGTTAGTTGATCTCATTTAATTAATACCAAACAAAAAATGTTTTCAAGTATAGTGGGTCCTTTACTTTTGATTTGTAAACAAAAAAAAAAAAAACATTTTAACATCTTAATCCTAATTACAGCAACAAGTAATTTTGTTWACTAAAATGTGTTTTCTTAGAATAATCAATTCTTTGACGACATTTAAATCCCTGTTTTGACATAAAAAGAATAAATGTCACATTCAATTTAGGGTTTTATTTACCAATTTTACTCAAATTATAAATCTTTCATCTTAAATAAACAGTTAAACTAGATTTGCACTGAAAATAACAAGGCAAAAAACTATTCATATCTTCTTAGTCTTCATTATCAYGTTTCACTTTCCAGTGAAGAAAGTGGGCAGCAGCACTGGGAGATTTGCCAATGCCACGCTGGTGCGGCTGTCAGAGTTTCTGAGTGCTGGATACAAGAAAGGAGTGAGACCCGTGAAGGACTGGAGGACGTCCACCATCGTGGCCATAGACCTGATGGTTTACTCCATCCTTAATGTGGTGAGGGTCAGCTTGTTGTCTCTGCTGCTCAGGAGCACCGAAGGGTTTTACTGCATCCACAGTGTGCATTAYGACTTCTAAAATAATGATCTTATTTATCATTCTGTTCATTTAAAACATTACTTTAATATGACCAAATCAATCTGCCACTGAAATTCAACCAATGTCTTCATACTTAACGTTGCTGAGATTTCATTGTTGTCTATTAAAGGATGAGAAGAACCAGGTTCTGACAACATACGTGTGGTACAGACAGGTGAGAGTCCTATTTATTACGACTAACCTTAAAGTGCCGATGACATCAATGTTTTTTAATATAAATGCATGTTTGGGGGGATTACATGAATAACTTATGGGACTTTTTTAACTTAGCTGAGATGAACAGTTGTTGAAATTTTGCACGTGAAGTAACAGGAAGTGATGTCAAACGGGAATGTCTGCATGTGAACAGAGCATTGCAACAATGGCCAACATAGATTGTAGACAAGAATCTGATGTTTCTTTAAATTATTTTGAGTCACTATCAGAGAGAAGAGTTCAAATATGTATTTTTTTTTAGTAAACAAAGACCAGGGAATTCCTTTTCTTGAAGAGTTCCCCTTTGATGTTACTTCCTGTTTCTTTGGATGAGCCAAATTTCAAAGAAAATATGTCATTAATGTGACCAAATGCATAAAATTGTGTGAATTATACAAAGTTTCTTGAATATAAATATGTTTTAGTTGACTTTTTTATTTATATGCATGCATGTAACACTTTAATGCATTATTCATCTTACTTCACAGATTGTGTATATTTTATCATTTAATAAAGTCATTAAATTCTATATATTGTTCATTTTATTAATAACAAACATTTTGTGCATCTGCTTAGACTAAGTAATCCATTTTTATAATACTGATTATTTAAATGAAGTTCAAGTATTTACATATTTTTAATGTTCAGTCTTGGACAGATGAGTTCTTGGTGTGGGATCCAGAGGATTTTGATGAAGTCAAACAAGTTTCCATACCCACAGCTAACGTTTGGGTTCCTGACATCCTCATCAATGAATTGTAAGAAATGTTATGATTTTAGAGCCTTTCTGACAAACTAAAAAAAAAAGAGAACATAATTTGATGTTGTGTGTCTAACCTGCAGTGTAGATGTGGGGAAGTCTCCTGACATTCCTTACGTCTACGTGACACACGATGGTCTGGTGCGGAACTACAAACCCATCCAGGTGGTCACAGCCTGCACCCTCAACATCTACAACTTCCCGTTTGATGTCCAGAAATGTAGCCTCACCTTCCAGAGCTGGCTTCATACAAGTAAGATATTCTTTTTTTTTTTTCATTTTTTGGACTGAAAACAGGCACATCTGTTTGTTTTACAGGACGAAACAAACATTTTCCAAAACAAAGATACATCTCTGTATTTATTGTTAAAGGGGAATGGCTTGTTTTCGTTGACGTCCATCGGTTCCGTTCTGCTGTGAGCTGAGCTCAGAGGGCAGGGAGGCGAGCAAAGCCTGACTTTCTGTCTCTGTTGTTTCACGCTGCTTGTGCTTGATCTGCAGTCGACGACATCAACATCACCCTGATGAGAAGCCCCGAGAAACTCAGGGACGACAAGAGCGTCTTCATGAACCAGGGAGAGTGGGAGCTGCTCCACATTCTCTCCAACTACAAGATCTTCAGCGTGGACAACRACGACTACTACGCTGAGATGAAGTTCCACGTGAGTGTAGACGTTTCAGGGTTAAAATACATGATGCAAAAGCAAGTTCTGCATTTGCATGCTTATATGTAAATTTAACTTCAGTCTGACACCGAACTGGTTTTCCCCAGGTGGTGATTCGGCGACGGCCGTTGTTCTACACTGTGAATCTRCTGCTGCCCAGCATCTTCCTGATGGTCATGGACGTTGTTGGTTTCTATCTGCCACCAGACAGTGGAGAGAGGGTTTCCTTTAAAATCACTTTGCTGCTGGGCTACTCCGTCTTCCTCATCATTGTGTCCGACACGCTGCCTGCCACTGCCATAGGAACCCCACTGATAGGTGAAGGGACTCATAAAGTTTGTTTGCAGTTTGGGCTATTATTTATCTTTTAWTCATATTTCACTTTACATCTATATATTTAAATCACACAGGCACTTACAGATTGAAAAAGACAAGTCAAGTCTCATTTATTGGCTCCTACCTGTCCTGCAGGTGTGTACTTTGTGGTCTGCATGGCCCTTCTGGTGATCAGCTTGACAGAAACTGTGCTCATTGTACGACTGGTCCACAAGCAGGACCTGCAGCCTCCCGTGCCCCACTGGGTTAAGTACCTGATCCTGGAAAGAGCTCCGGTCCTCTTTTGCATCCACAAAAAGCACCGTTTCTGTTCCGGGCTGTCCTCACAGGCCTCTGAGCTGGAGCACTACAAGGAAAACGATTATGGGACGGCAGGTAAAAAAAAAGGGCTTGTGGAAAAGTGTATAACACAGTTGAAGGTTTTTGCAGAAGTAACTGCGAACAACTAACAGGAACAAATTCAAAGAAGCTTTAAATGTTACAATGAAACAAATCAATCAGAACCTGTATCTTGTCCCTCAGCCCAGTGCTCCATCCACCACACCTGTGAAATAGGACAAAGACTCAGCCAGCAGGACAGAGAAGGCGGGATGCTCGGCCTGCGCCTGCCCCCGTCCAGGGACAGCACCCCGCCCATCATGGACAACATCCTCCAGGAGGTGACCGCCATCCGCCACTTCCTGGAGAAGAGGGACAAATGTCGGGAAGTGGCCAAGGAGTGGCTCCAGGTTGGCTACGTGCTGGACGTGCTCCTCTTCAGGGTCTACCTGGTGGCCATGGTGGCCTACAGCATCACTCTGGGCACCTTGTGGTCAGTTTGGCAGGTCGCCTGAGTACTGTTGAGGGACACAACGTTGAGTGTGGGTAAACATTTAAATGTTAGATACAGTTAGTGGCTCGGTGCACTAAATTGCTCCGAGGACAGACGGCACACGGTTCAAGTAGATTTAAATTTAAAGGTAAAGTGACCTAATTATTGTCAGAAAAGTCACAGTTTTACTTCTGAATGAATAGTTTGAAGGTTGCACATYCAGATCTCATGTAAAGCCTGATAAAAATGTTTTTACTTCATCCTATATCTGCACTGTAGGAGTAGTAGCATTGTTTATAGTGTAATCTTTCTGCAGTGCAGACATCATAGAGTATACACTGACTGAAAAATATTTCCGGTTTAACCAYGTTGTGACAAATCCCAAATTTGAATTATCTGCAGGTCTGATAAAATGTGGGGAAAAAATGTGTTTAATTTTTTTAAACTGACTCAGCTTCCTCAGTTTTCTAATATTGCAAAGTATAAATTTAATGGTAACTTTTTCTGACATATTCTTGAGTCAGAAATGTATAAACAAATGTACATTGAGAATCCTTTAGACTGGCTAACTGTATTTATGAAACACTACAAAACGTCAGTGCAGTTCATGTGTAAACTATAAAAATACTAAAATACATGAAAAACAAAGAAGTTAAAATGAATAAAAATATATATGAATAATTATAAATTCTTTGTGTGGCACAAAMCAGTTGTTCTCAGCCTGTAGTTCAAACAGTGGCCAGAGGAGGGCGACATTCACAACAACATCACCTTCAACAGAAACAAACATTTACAAACAATCAGTCTCACGTTTRGTCACAACAGAATTATTTGACTGGAAGCTCATTAGGATAATGTTCATTGTGATAAATAACGTCCGTCTCTCGGTGTGATCTGATCTTTTTATTAAAGGAAGGTCATTGCAGGAATGATGCAATTTTGTGGAGGTTTTGCAGGTTTCTTGCAATACTTCAAATGAAAAAAAAAAAAAAAACGTTACCGGAAAGTTGAATTAAACCATCTTAAATGACCTGAATTCTATTTTCAGCCCAATTTTATTTATTATTATTATTATTTTTCAAAWATGACTCTTTCATTGTCTGGTCTGACCTACCTTAAGTCTTGCATTTTTGTAAGGTTTTCCCATCTTATGCAATTTTACTTAAAAACACAAAACCTGCCTTTTTGTCCCAATAAACAGCTTTCTGATATGTGATTCATTTGTYGTCAGTGGTTGGAGCTGTGAGAAGCTTGCAGGAACACTCTCCCTGCAACAAAGTTTCATGCCCTCCTAACAAACCAGCCAACCCCTGCCCCTTCCTTCCTGATGCCCCTAAAATAAGATCAAAGTAACAGCAAAGCAGCTCGTCCAGCGGAATCATTGACAATTAGCTTATCCTCCTTGTTTCCTGTTTTTGTTTCCTGTCACACACTTAAAAAAAAAAAAACAAAAAAACAAAACAATGTTTCTATTGTGATGCTTTGGAGTTGCCTCATTAGATTCTAATGCGCTCAAACCGAGAGCTGATCATGTGTGAGGAGGGGAGAGGAAATAAGATATGGGAGCGACAGTTGATGACAGCAGCTTTCATATCACGTATGCATGATGTTTTCTCAGGAATATCAGGGTCTTTGTTGTGTTTTGATGGTGACTACATGTAGCACCACTCCCACACATTTACTGGGCGTCACTCCAATCTTAACGACTTWAACGCTGAAATTGTTGGAGACAAAGGGAGTTCTGTTGCTTTTCTGGTGCTGAGTCTTAATACAATGTTAGAACCTCATCAGCAGAGAAACTAATTGTCTCTTTCTGGAAATGAAATAGTTAAAGCAGCAGTTTGCAGATGGAGCGATACACTGTAGACTGACCAAACGAAGCAGATCCACAGGAAGACTGAACATGAGGGGATGAGTCCAGCCTGAATGAAAACATTTAGTTTCCCCAACATTTTTTTTCCTTTCAGTGACAGTCACACAAATTTCCTTTACACTTTATTTTATTGAGTCTCTACAGACTGGTTATGTGTTAGAAAATCTGCACAAGGAAAATTTATTTTTCTTTGAAATTTAACAACTGATCTGTATGAATCATGATGTGTCATTCGGACCCCTAAATTATAAAACTTGCCTTAGTTAACATGGGATTCTGAAGATAAACTGCAGAAAGAAATGCTGTATTTAAAGGCCCTGTCACACTATAACRGTTTAGACAACTTATGAAATGCTTTTTATGTCTAAATTACTAATAAAAATTGATCAGTTTGTTAGCATTTCAGTATGCACATGCCTAAATTAGGCTTCCAGTTGATTTTATTAACTGCATCTTCAATGTAGATGTCTTTAAAATTTTTATTTTGGCACAAGTTGTAAAGGGCCTTAACATAAAAAAGGTCTTTAAGCATGCTTGATGTCAAATTAATCAAAATATGAAATCTCAGAGTCAGTATCATGACACACACTAAATTATAAGTTGTGATTAAAACTCAGAAGTGGAGCTGCAATTTGAAACGTACAGAACTAAATATGCACACCAATATATTGTTTATTTTCTATCTTTTTTCTATGTTTCAGGAGACAAATACTGAACCAGAAAGAGTTGTAAGAGACAACATGAAGTCCATTTTTTATTTTTTTCTAACTGCAGATTGAACGAATACAACTGAACATCATGATTTGATTTTTATTGAAACCCATAAATAGAAAAAAAACAAACAAAAAAAATCCACTACAATAAACAATCTACTGTTAGTAGGATCTTTTTTTCTTAAAAAAAGAGAAATTTGTATATTTTCACTATCAAAGGCACAACATTGACTTTACTGACAACATGGAGAAGAGAACCTGCAGCATTAAATCTTTTATTTTCCTTTTAATTTTTTTCACACTCCATCAGAGAACACTGAAATGTTACAGAGATGTGTCTGATTCTACATGGAAAGAAACAGAAAAAACAAAAAAAAGAACAACCTCTATATCAACAGACGGTGGCTATAGATTGGTGCCACAGTTTAACAGGAAACGTACTGCCACAAAGAGGGGAAGAGGGGGGAGAAAAAYAAAATAGCACGTTGTCGCTGGAAAAGACAAAGGACCTTTGCAAAGCTCGAATGCAAATTTCAAAAACATCTTTTTTTTTTCTTTACAACTGACAACAACAGAACAAAAAAATATGGGCACCTTCTAAGATTAGGCTAAGATTAGGTGCTGAGGTAGACAAAAACTAAAAGAAATCATAATAAAAACACTATTTTTTTTTAATACAGAGCAACTTGACTGGCACTTGTGCTGTCACGACAATGGAGGAGAAAAAGTTGCACAGACAAGCCAGAGAGAGACAGAGAGAAAAAGCTTTGTTACATAAAAAAAGCTTTGTTACGCTTGGTCCGACAGGGCAATTGGTCCTCAGTGCTAATATAAAAAAATACAATGTCTTGGTGCTTTGTTACTCAAACAGTTTTAGTCTAGACCTTGATGGCACATGCATTGCAACACTGCATGAAATGGCTACTTTGTTCTAGAAACACCACACCAAAACACAGAGTGCCAGCTCCAGGGATGCCATGATTCTTCTCTAATCAATTTAACATCCCTTAAAAAATGCATTTAAAAAAAGGCAGAAGGGAAAAAAAACCCTAATGCAAACATGTCCAAGTGGAGGTTTTCTTTTTTTAATATTATGTTTTAAAAAGAAAATATTGCTTTTGTCTGCAAACCTGTTGCAGACAAACGTACTAAAAAAGAAATACAGAAAACAAAACCTCGGGTTTCAATTGCTTAAAACAAAACAAAACAAACAAACAAAAAATAAAAACAATAAAGACAATTTTGTTTGCCACTGTTATCTTTCCATATTTTAGGAGGGTTTTCTTTTGTTGCCTCCWATTTTTTTAACCAATATTTTGTGCTGTTTTTAGATGCCAATCACAGAAAGCAGAACTCAAAAAGAGACGTGAACGCAGTCGCTATTTCAATAGCAAAAAGGGTTTTATTGCAGTCCTTGAAAAAGAACTCTAACCCTGCTTGAGAAAAAAAAAATCATGTTATAATTTGAGCTTCATGACATCCCCGGGGTGCTGGAAATGAGAACATTTGTTTATTTTCTTCTGAAAAATACAGAAAAGTAAGCAGATATAAATTGATCTTTTTGTCGAACAGTTTCCATTTTAGGCACGACGATATTACAGAAACATGGAGGAACACTGAGGGAAGAACTATATCGATGCCAATGTGTATATATATACTTATATATATTTATATTTTAAAACAGAAAAAAGTGGCATAGAATATCATTTTATTTTGTATCTGATCTGATTAGTGCATTTTTTTCCACTGACACACACACACACACACACACACACTCAGACGGTTACACACTCTGTTTGCGCACTTTTCATCCACACAAAAAAGTAGAAAACATTCAGAGGACGATGATAAGAATAATGCGGCTGAGCAGGTCTTGCATTGTGGCGTTCAGACTGAACCGTGACTGGGTATATTATAGTGGGTGGATATTATCCGAGGGCGACAAAGCCCCCTCAGCTCACAGTGTTTGAGAATAAAATGGCAAGACACCACGGGACATGCCATCCCTTCTTTTTTTTTCTTCTTTCAAGTACAAAAAAGGAAACAAAATATGTCGACAGTAAAGTTTGATTGAAAAAAAATCTGAATGACAAGTACTAATTGGTCGGTTTCAGCAGAGTCTCACTGCCAGTGTGTTTTTTTTTCCTTATAGTTTTTAACCTCTTTTTTTATATTTGTCACTTAAACACACTTGAAAAAATTTGTGATGGATAGATTTAGTCCTTCACCTACAATGCAATCGACATCCAGAAAGCAACACTTATTATTACAATATTTTCACACACAATTTTTTTTTGTCCAACAATATCAAAGAGGAGCAAGGCAAAATGATTCACACCCAGAGAGAGGAAAAAAAAAACTAGTCAAATAATAATAAAAAAAGAAATACAAAAATTTGTGCCCTGCTTTAACCCTCCACAAATGGAAAAAGGACTGACACTCAATACAAAAATATCACAATTTTTATATATCAAATTGCCTCTGTTGGCTCTTGTTCAGGAACACGCTTTTCTGCTGAGAGAATCTCTATTTTTAACCTTCTGGTTTGTCTTTTTTTAAGTTTTTTTTATTACAACTTGCAGCTCCAATTGTCCAACGCTTTCTGCATCACTGCAAACATGACCTGTCGTGTGCGGTGCAGCGTTCGTGACGAACTTTCTGTTTTTTTGTTTTGTTGTCGGGTTTTTTTTTTTTCACATTACAAAACTACAACTCTATTCACATATTTTCAAGTTTAAATTCTTGTTTTTAAACACTCGTAAAAAGCAAAAGTACTTTGTCTGGTCTGCCACGTCCCTCTTACTCGTCACTTTAAGGCTTCAAAATTGCTTTTTTTTWAAATTTCCCCTCTGCTCTTCTGTTATCGGAGGTGCAAAGGGAGACTGTAAGAGAAGAATAAACGTCCGTTCAAAAGACTTTTCCCGTCCTCTTCACCTCTACGTTTTTTTAATCTATTACCCTTTTATATACATTTTTTTTCTGAAAAAACAATCATAAATCAATAAAAAAAGCATGAGATGAAGTAGCATTGACAAACAATGCAAAACACAAACACGCACACACAAAGATATGTGTTTTGGCCAAAAAAAAGAAACACAAAATCAACTTAGAGGTAGCTTTTAAAAAAAAAAACAAACAAACTAAAATGACCAAACCTTCTGGTTCTTTCACAAACAGGGTTAATATCACCAAGTTTGTTAACAAGTACGCACAAAGAAAAACACGACRAACAAACAAACAAAATCTTTTCTCTGTGGCACTTAAATTTTTCCGCGTACTCTCCGCTTCATCACATTTTTGAATGCATCTTCTGACATGCACTTACCAAAACAAAACGAAACGAAAACGGTAAAAATGTACAAATGAAACAAAAGGGAAATTAACATGACAAGAAACATGAGGTCACAAAAAGAGGTAATTCAAGTACGATGTGTTGAGCTCAAACTCAAGGTCGATAATAACAACAACAACAACAGACGAGAGACGAAGCGCACAGACGAAAYCACAGAAAGAGAGTTGATTTATTCTGTCTTTAGCTGCTTGTCTGCATCTCATCTGATCAGTGACTTCCCCCCGTTTTTTTTTTAACTCCACCGGTGGTTTGGATATGTCATTTCCATAGAAGATGATGTGATTTGTGTTCATGTTCTGGGTTTAACCACAATCCTCGTGACTCTWTGCCTCGCAGGTTAAATGCTGTCTTACAAAGACATCAGAAAGTTCCCGCCAATTCTCACCTTTACCAAAATTTATTTTTTTAACCCCTAGAAGCAGTTCAATCTGCAGCAAACACTTAAAAAAAGTTGCACACTGAATATAATCAAGGCTAAAAAAGTGTAAAATTATAAAAAAGTAGCATTTTTACCGCCAATTTAAGTCAGTGTGAATATGAAAATAAGTTGTAACAAGACAAAATCTAGGGATACCAAATCAGTGCATGTTCTCATAATTTGTATATTTTTATAACATAATAATGGTATTTTTGAGTTTTTTTGSCCCACCACGAGGCACAAAAAGCACGAGCAGTTACCAGGGAAATGTCTGTCGGAGACAAAATCAATCTCTTTCAACCACTCGTTGGCTAAAGCAGGAATCGTAGGTTTCTGACGTCGAAGAACAAGCATTAACCTGCTCAACACAGCCTGGGTTCAAGCCACAACTTTTAAACKTTACCACACCCCCAACTCGCACAAATGTCAGGGTGCACAGCTGAGGCATTCGCAGCTCTGTTTCAAATCCAACTCCCCCARTAAAGTCCAAGTCACAGGATTCAAACAGACAACAAGCTTCTCCCAAATCGTTTTCCTCTGCTGTGGTGAACTGATAGATCTATTGCAGTCAAAACGTTGCTGAGTCAGTTTATGTACTTTATAGTTAGTGTGAGATACTGATAGTCTTCTGGATAAATGCGCGTGAGTAAAAGCAGTCCAGTTATCTATTGCTGAATAAGTGACCACGCTGGGTTTATTGTGCGATACTGTAATAGCGAGTTATATTTGTACGCAGGATTTATATACCTTGCTGACATCAAACAGAGACTGTTGTCGTAGTTTGTTTTACTTGTGCAATCAAGCCGTGATAAAACTACGATGCAGAAATAAGAGACTAAAATAATATATGACAAGAAGAAAGTGACGCGAGTCAGCCTTTCGGTTCTCTGTGGAGAACCGCGAGTGGCCGGCGGCGACTCGGGCCTCTGCAGAACCTCATCGGAAAGGAGATGCGGAACCAGGAGGGACCGCCGTAGAAACTGGGGAGATTTCCGACAAAAAAAGCAGCGCTAGCATTTTTCCCTGCTCAGAACCAAAATGGATGGTTTGCAGCGTTTTTTTAAATACTCTCAAGTCCAGTTCAGCTGCATCGTCTACTGCATACGTCAACAGGCTCTAAATCAGCCAATTCTCAGGGGCTATCTCACAGCTACAGAACATTTCTGAAGGGTTTTATGCAAAGACAGGTTAAGTAGCGGGTTTCTGGAACCTCTTGGTCATTGAAGAGGAGAGGTGACAGAACAAACACGTATTTAAAACAGAAAAAAAATGTCATGGTTATCTAAAGCCTTTCATTCAAAATCTGGACAGGYTATCTTGAAAAATAGATCTTATCCAAGATACGTATTTGTAGCAACCTGAAGCATTTTGGGGTTGTGGTCATTAAAAGGACCCCAAAGTTCAGACAGCAAGACCATAAAATAATCCACACCAATTAAAAAAGAAACTATATTAGAAAGAGGACAAAATTGAAGGAAGAATTTGGTTTGGATACAAGAATGTGCAGGTCAGATAGCCCTTGAGAATCTGCTCTCTCACCAACGTGGCAGCAGCATCCAAAGAGTCACTTCCTTGCAGCCTACTTGCGTTATGGCGCTGCATGAAATGACCTGAAACATCAACACAACTGCAGGTGTAGTGAATGACCCGGTGAATCCGAACAATGGTGGAGACTTTCTCTCCGTGTCCAAGTCTTCCTCTCTTTTTTTTTAACTTCTGCCCTGACGATCCCGCCCTTTCTCCCCCACACAGCCGCTCATTGCTGCTTTTGCAAGTAAATAAAAAAAGAGAAAACAAACCCTTCTTTTTCTAGCATCTTCTCGTTGACATTCCTCAATTTTCAAGACCTCCTATCCACTCCATTACATTCCTCCTACCTCTCAACCCCACCCTCTTCCCCTCTTCATCCACTTTTCTCCATCTCAGACATAGCAGAGGTACAGGTAGGTCTTCTCTATGCGCCAGTCTGGGGGGATGTCTTCTGGCTTGTGACCCTTCATGTGCTTCTGCATGGCTGACAGGCTGGGGCAGTACTCCAGGCAGATGGTGCATTGGTAGGGCGAGGCGCCATTGTGGGTACGCAGGTGCTTGATCATGGCCGAGTAGTCCCTGGATCGCTGGTGGCACAGCTTGCACTCAAATGGCTTTTCACCTAAAGATGATGGGAAGGTGGTTGAAGAGAAACATTTTGTTAGTCACTGCTACTCCACTGCTGAGGAGTATCTGTTCAGGAGTAAAAAATGCGACTGTGAAAAGTATTTATTGYTCTATAAACAAGCCTTCCAATTACTCCTATTTGCATGAAAGCATTTAGAAATGCATTTTTTTGTGTTCAGACACACAAAACAATAACACCCGCTGTAACTTCTCATTAATGAGACTCGATACAAGCCTAACATGTCGACTGAGAAGCAGCAAATTAAAATGAGATAAGAATCTAAGTAATTAAAAGTTGCAGGTTTTGTTTTTAGGCAACATAAAATATAAACTAATTTAAGGCGAATTACAGAATATACAGCACCTGCCGCTTCAAGCTCCTGAAGGTGTTAGAAATCAAAGTGTGACGYTGCTTTCTTTCCATGGGGGCTGTTATATTTAACGGCCACATTTCAATTTGGCAACAGTGGTCATCCTAAACGTGCTAATGATTTGAGTGATGGCAGGGAATAATCTAGCAGCGCTCAAGCCGGCAGACTCAAATTAGACATGTAAATGCTGACCTTTACCAATGGCATTTGAAATGAGCTGTCGGAAGTGATCTGGCCCAGCGCTGCCTGTCACCTTTCAGGCTGAAGCTTCACGTGTGCGCATCCGTTTAAAAAAAAAAAAACGTTTGTGCCTTTTGTTGCACCGTCGAGCTGTTTTCGAGGAAACCCCGGTTAACCCCGACCCAACTCTGTCGYGGACCGTGTTGCGGTGCCGGTAAGTACACACACGGTGTTGCCAACCTCGTTTGTTTCATTGTGGACACATGCGCGGTGTTGATATTGATAACCAGACTGTAAACAAAGTCTGCTCAAACAACCAGCTCATAATGAATTGCAAATGAAGCCGGGGTATTGATCAGCCATTGGCATTTAGAATGTGTGGAGGGACGTGAGATGGGTGGGGGTCAGGGTGCCAATGTCGATGATTCATCAAGCAGCTCCTTTTGTGCGAGGTGGCCTTTGACTGTGAGCTTGTCACTCGCTCTTGTTATCTGCTGTTGCTCTCCGGCTTAACGCAAAGCCCCCCCTTCTCCATACAAAAGGGGAAAGGGTGGACGGAGGGGAGCCAATTATTGGACAGGCAGCCTTGATAGTGTGGCTTAACAGCTGGTTTATTGAATGGGAGATGGGAGGGTTACTGCTGTGAGCGTGTGTGTGTTAGAGGGAAAAAAAAACATAGTGAGAGAGCATAAACCCTTGGCTGTGTGCCACCCTGGTGAGCGCTCGTGGTCGACTATACTCACTCAATTGAGTTTGCAGCATGCACTCGTTCTCCAAGGCACCTAGCCTATCACTGTGTCAACATCTTTATGGGGCTCTAAATATACTCGGATCAATACAAAGTCGTCTGAGACTTTCATCTACTGTATCACAGGAATACTGGTTTTCATCTGGTCTGGCCTGGGCCCTGCAAATTATCCTGGAGTCCTTTAACAACATCCAAATTATATAGCAGTGCTACATTTCAAAAGTGTATATGATACCCAAAAGAGCTAGACTGAAGGTTTATTTTTATTTTTTTTTACGAACACCCGAAATCAGTAGAAACATGGTTGAATGCGTTTGGAAATTTCTAAATGTCACCATGTTTGCATGCTAAGATGAAAATATGCTAACTCAGTTTAGCAAAAATACAAAATTTGGATGCAACTAGTAGGGGGAAATGAACAGGTGGGAAGTGTTGTGTTTTCACTACATAAAGACTTGTTCAAGATTCAGTTCCCACAGATTTAAGCAGAATTTATTCATGCTCAAAGTTTACCATCTAAAGAAATATACATTTATAGTTTTAGGATGAACCATTTATTCCGGTCGAGGCAGATGGCCGCCTGTCCTGAGCCTGGTTCTGCTGGAGGTTTCTTCCTGTTAAAAGGGATGTTTTCCTCTCCACTGTCGCCAATGTGCTGCTCAGGATGGGAGATGGTGATGAAGTGAAGATACAACACAATCTGCTGTCTTCTTTCGATTTATTGTTTTTGTGTACCTGAGATGAAGTTTGTTGTGACTTGACCCTATATAAATAAAATGAATTGAATTTTATTGAATTTTATATTTTAAATGAACATCATCTAATTAAATAGCATACATAGAATGCAAGCCAGCTTGTTTTGCATGCTTTTTGCTGCTCTGTGCACACATAAAATGTATTTTATGAAGGCCAGACTCCTAAGAAATCCATTCTCTTTCTACTCTTTGTACTTTTCAGACATCGTAGAGCAGTGCACGAGGTCACTGATAGCGACAGATTTTTTGTCGAGTTTATTATTATTATTTTGAAAACAGGTGCTGATCTCATTTGAACATGTTTTGGTTGCAGCACCTGTGTGCACACGGTAGTGGGTTTCCAGCTGGTGCTTGAGGCTGAACTTCTTCCCGCAGCCGTTACATTCGTAGGGCTTCTCCCCGGTGTGGATGCGCTTGTGGCCCTTCAGAGTGCTCTCATCTCGGAAGCAACTCCCGCAGAACTCACACTCGAACGGGTGGTCCCCTGCTGAAATGTGGAAAGAAAATCGGAAATTTACTCAAACTGCAAACAAAATCCTTACGTCCAAATGCAGAATAAAACCCTTTTCTATTAATACCAGAAAAAAAAAAAAAAACAGAAAAGTAGGAAAACCAGAAAGCTATGAATTCATTTGCATGCTAAACCAAACAAAGCTTGTAATAAGATGAATTGGTTTCACTGGTTGCAAATGAACTGCTGTGATACTAAAAAGAAGCCTCACTACTGAGCTTCACCTGATTATTTTGATTGGGTTATACACAATGCACCAACATCAGGCATTTTGTTCTAATGAATACCCATTTTAATACCAGTAGACAAATACAACCCGTCTTTTCTCAGCACTGGTATTGTGCTTTGTGAAATAATTGTAGCCTGTCACGGCTATTCAACAACCACGAGATGTATTATTGACCACGCGGCTGCAGTATTCACAAAACACTAACAGGAAACCTGACTAATGTTTTAAACTCAGAAGGATCACCTAAGTTTGACGGTGTGGAATTGACCAGCTTTGAATGTTTCTTCTTAAAGCAACAAAATAAAAATAAAAGATCAATAAAAATGACAGTTTTGTTAAGTTTGAYAAAAGAACTGAAATGGCTTGTTCTCTTTATATCCCACATGTTTTTGATGTGTTGATTTGAAGCAAACTGAGCTGCAAACGAAGGGATTCTAGTAGTGACATGCCTTTGGAAGAGTCATTTATAAATGTTTTTAGTGAAGCTCTTTGGATCACAATTTTACTGTACATTAACTTCAACATGGTTCACTGGAAAAGAGACAAAAAGTTGTTGCCCCTCTTCCTGACAGGCTCCATTTTAAAAGCCAGAAACTGAAATGATCTAAAGGTAGACGCTAAAAGGTAATTTGTCTGTAGCGTTAGCAAAACAACTCATTAAACACTAGATAAATTGTAACAAATGTTTCAGAAAGTAACCTAAGTAAATCTATAACTGATTAACTTTTTGGGTCAACTCAATCAAATACAGCTGCCACAGCTACCCCATCAAACACAAAAGTTTGCATACCTCAGTGCATTTTACCGATATTAAGCTTAAATCATGGCGTGGTAGTAGCTTTAATAGGGCGGGACATACGGGAGTCAAGTTTGAGTTTGACACACGTGCTGTAGATGTAAGAGGGNCAACTAGTAGGGGGAAATGAACAGGTGGGAAGTGTTGTGTTTTCACTACATAAAGACTTGTTCAAGATTCAGTTCCCACAGATTTAAGCAGAATTTATTCATGCTCAAAGTTTACCATCTAAAGAAATATACATTTATAGTTTTAGGATGAACCATTTATTCCGGTCGAGGCAGATGGCCGCCTGTCCTGAGCCTGGTTCTGCTGGAGGTTTCTTCCTGTTAAAAGGGATGTTTTCCTCTCCACTGTCGCCAATGTGCTGCTCAGGATGGGAGATGGTGATGAAGTGAAGATACAACACAATCTGCTGTCTTCTTTCGATTTATTGTTTTTGTGTACCTGAGATGAAGTTTGTTGTGACTTGACCCTATATAAATAAAATGAATTGAATTTTATTGAATTTTATATTTTAAATGAACATCATCTAATTAAATAGCATACATAGAATGCAAGCCAGCTTGTTTTGCATGCTTTTTGCTGCTCTGTGCACACATAAAATGTATTTTATGAAGGCCAGACTCCTAAGAAATCCATTCTCTTTCTACTCTTTGTACTTTTCAGACATCGTAGAGCAGTGCACGAGGTCACTGATAGCGACAGATTTTTTGTCGAGTTTATTATTATTATTTTGAAAACAGGTGCTGATCTCATTTGAACATGTTTTGGTTGCAGCACCTGTGTGCACACGGTAGTGGGTTTCCAGCTGGTGCTTGAGGCTGAACTTCTTCCCGCAGCCGTTACATTCGTAGGGCTTCTCCCCGGTGTGGATGCGCTTGTGGCCCTTCAGAGTGCTCTCATCTCGGAAGCAACTCCCGCAGAACTCACACTCGAACGGGTGGTCCCCTGCTGAAATGTGGAAAGAAAATCGGAAATTTACTCAAACTGCAAACAAAATCCTTACGTCCAAATGCAGAATAAAACCCTTTTTTATTAATACCAGAACAAAACAGAAAAGTAGGAAAACCAGAAAGCTATGAATTCATTTGCATGCTAAACCAAACAAAGCTTGTAATAAGATGAATTGGTTTCACTGGTTGCAAATGAACTGCTGTGATACTAAAAAGAAGCCTCACTACTGAGCTTCACCTGATTATTTTGATTGGGTTATACACAATGCACCAACATCAGGCATTTTGTTCTAATGAATACCCATTTTAATACCAGTAGACAAATACAACCCGTCTTTTCTCAGCACTGGTATTGTGCTTTGTGAAATAATTGTAGCCTGTCACGGCTATTCAACAACCACGAGATGTATTATTGACCACGCGGCTGCAGTATTCACAAAACACTAACAGGAAACCTGACTAATGTTTTAAACTCAGAAGGATCACCTAAGTTTGACGGTGTGGAATTGACCAGCTTTGAATGTTTCTTCTTAAAGCAACAAAATAAAAATAAAAGATCAATAAAAATGACAGTTTTGTTAAGTTTGAYAAAAGAACTGAAATGGCTTGTTCTCTTTATATCCCACATGTTTTTGATGTGTTGATTTGAAGCAAACTGAGCTGCAAACGAAGGGATTCTAGTAGTGACATGCCTTTGGAAGAGTCATTTATAAATGTTTTTAGTGAAGCTCTTTGGATCACAATTTTACTGTACATTAACTTCAACATGGTTCACTGGAAAAGAGACAAAAAGTTGTTGCCCCTCTTCCTGACAGGCTCCATTTTAAAAGCCAGAAACTGAAATGATCTAAAGGTAGACGCTAAAAGGTAATTTGTCTGTAGCGTTAGCAAAACAACTCATTAAACACTAGATAAATTGTAACAAATGTTTCAGAAAGTAACCTAAGTAAATCTATAACTGATTAACTTTTTGGGTCAACTCAATCAAATACAGCTGCCACAGCTACCCCATCAAACACAAAAGTTTGCATACCTCAGTGCATTTTACCGATATTAAGCTTAAATCATGGCGTGGTAGTAGCTTTAATAGGGCGGGACATACGGGAGTCAAGTTTGAGTTTGACACACGTGCTGTAGATGTAAGAGGGRTGGGTGTAAAAAATAAGGTTCTACTGCTACCCACTCCTTTGAACGTGTAAATACGTATAACTTACTATTGTTCTTTTTTTGTTTGCTTTTTGTTTTGTTTATTCTTTTACTACATTACATTCATTAAAGTCAAAGTCAAAACAACTGAACACATTTTAACGAAACTGTTGAAACTCAGGGTCAGATATTGAGCTCATTTTGATGTGGTAGTAGCTGAGAGTCATGCCAAAACATGTCTATGCTTCACACACCTGACATGTTGTGGATGTATGTGTGTCATTTGAGAAAAAAAAAACCCTTAAAGGGCACTGAGTTCAGACTGGGGTGGTGGTCCCCCTATTTAAAAAGGGGGACTGCAGAGTGTGTTCCAACTATAGGGGATCACACTTCTGAGCCTCCCTGGTAAGGTCTATTCAGGGGTCCTGGAGAGGAGGGTCCATAGGATAGTCGAATCTCAGATTCAGGAAGAGCAGTGTGGTTTTTGTCCAGGTCATGGAACAGCGGACCAGCTCTACACCCTCAGCAGGGTCCTGGAAGGTGTGTGGGAGTTCGCTCAACCAGTCTACATGTGTTTTGTGGACTTGAAGAAGGCGTTCCACTGTGTCCCTCGAGGACTCCTGTGGGGGGTACTCCGGGAGTATGGGGTACCAGGTCCATTGATACGGGCTGTTAGGTCCCTGTACGACCAGTTCCAGAGCTTGGTCCACATTGCTGGTAGTAAGTCGGATTGGTTTCTGGTGAGAGCTGGACTCTGCCAAGGTTGCCCTTTGTCACCGATTCTGTTCATAACTTTTATGGACAGAATTTCTAGGTGCAGCCAAGGTGTTGAGGTGATCCTTTTTGGTGACCTCAGGATCACATCTCAGCTTTTTGCRGATKATGTGGTCCTATTGGCTTCATCAGATCCTGATCTCAGCTCTCACTGGAGCGGTTCACAGCCGAGTGTGAAGCGGCCGGGATGAGGATCAGTGCCTCCAAATCTGAAACCATGGTCTTGAGCCAGAAACCGGTAGTGTGCCATCTCCGGGTGGGGGAGGAGGTCCTGCCCCAAGTGGAGGAGTTCAAGTATCTCGGGGTCTTGTTCACGAATGGGGGAAGAACAGAGCGGGAGATCGACAGGCGGATTGGTGCTGCATCTGCAGTGATGTGGGTGCTGTACCTGTCTGTCGTGGTGAAGCGGGAGCTGAGCCAGAAGGCAAAGCTCTCGGTTTACCAGTCGGTCTACATTCCTACCCTCATCTACGGTCAAAAGCTTTGGGTAGTGACCGAAAGAACGAGATCGCGGAAACAAGCGGCCAAAATGAGTTTCCTCTGCATGGTGGCTGGGCTCTCCCTTAGAGATAGGGTGAGAAGCTCAGTCATCCAGGAGGGACTCAGAGTAGAGCCGCTGCTCCTCCACATCGAGAGGAGCCAGTTGAGGTGGTTCATCTGGTTAGGACGCCTCCTGGACTCCTCCCTGGTGAGGTGTTCTGGACACATCCCACTGAGAGGAGACCCAGAGGAAGACCCAGGACATGCTGGAGGGACTATGTTTCTCAGCCTGGGAACACCTTGGGATTCTCCCAGAGGAGCTGGTCCAAGTGGCTGGGGAGAGGGAAGTCTGGGTCTCTCTACTTAGGCTGCTGCCCATGTGACCCCACCCAGGATAAGCGGCAGAAAACGGATGGACGGACGGACGGGCACTGAGTTTAGCTCCTCAGGCTGCCACAGCACAGGTCCCTACTGGGCAGCTGTAATGGATATTCAGATGTCAATGATCAGGAATATTATGATTTGCGGGGAGCCTCTCACCAGCAGTCCAAAGACTAATTGTATTCGCGTGTTTGATGAGGAGCCACTTCTTGCGTCATTTGCTTCCCCCCCACGTGTTATGCTCTCCATGCAAGTAATGTTGCGGATATTTATTAATGTATTTCACTGCACTGCTGCAGGTTTAAGTCACCATCAATGACCTATGCCTTTCATTATCTGCCTGTCCAAGCAGCAACGTGCCAGGGAATAAATTGCATTTCTCATTATGTGCCTCCACCACTGCCCCGCTGTTAAAAGACAATTTCACTGCCATCCACATATTTTATTTACAATTTTCTGTAAGTGCATACAGTATGAATGCCTGTAGTTAGTTTATTTAGGAGGAGAGAGGCAAAAAGGGGGAACAAACGGCAGAATGTGAAATGTTTGAGTCGGATCACATTAAGGCTTTGTTATACTTTTATGGAGGAAAACGTTTTCAGATGCCTTAGGGATGATGTCGGACGTATTCCCATTAAAAGGGAAGCGATGGGGATGAAGGGACGGGGAGTAAAACCCAGACAGGGATAGAACGGGAGATGTGGGTGTATATGGTGGCAGCGGTGGGGGCTGGGTAAAAATCAATAAAAGTGACAGTCTTTATTTGTCTGCATGAAGTTATCAGTGGCTCCCGCTGTAAGACATTGTGCTCTTTCTAGCGTCTCAACCGCAGCAGAGATCACAATCCATCACGGAGCGTGGTGGGCTTGCACAATGCTACAGGAATAATAATTGAGTTCAGATTCACCTGCCTTTAATTAGGGCCTCCTATCAGACCAGTGAACAGGATGCTAATGCACAGAGGAGGCCTATGGAGGGTTATTTATGCCTAATGTCCTGTTGCTGTGCTAACGTCTGGTGCTGGTTTAAAAAAAATAGAGATTAGAAGAAAAGCATTTTCTCATTCTCTTTATTCAATACAAAATGAATGCTACCTTGAACTCTTCATATCTAAAATCCCTTTTTTTAAAGTTAATTCTGAGGCTGCTAGGGGTCGGCAATTATCGTCTGCCACAGCATAAATCATATAATTATCTATTAATTATCTATTGTTCTTTGATTTATGATGGAACAGTTTCTCACTACTGACTGGTCCACTTTACGCTACTGAATTTTCCATATATTGACACTAAAAAGTGTTCTCTGAGTATTTGTTGGGGATGACTCGCAGCGACCAACAAAGCAAATTTTAGCCGAACGTCTATAAAATTGGCCTAATCATAGGCTTTTTTGTCTTCCCTCAGTTCAGTTGGCTGTAGTGGCATCTTAGTGGCAGAAACATTACTGTCTTTTGCCTTCGGCAGTGGGCAACGCCATAATCTCACTGCAGCCTTTCAGACATACAAGAATTCACTCTGTCAGAATATTCTCATGGGTGTTACGAAGAAACGCGGCTTTGCTCTTTATTCTTTCCAAATCTGTAACTATTACTTCCTATTTCCCACATATCGTCTCACCGCTCCCGTTCCCCCCCCCCCCTCCTCTCCCTCCTTCCTCACTTTCCTGTTTTCATTTCTCTTTCTCTCTGCTGTGACCACATGACAGGATCGCCACAGATGAGGACCTAGCACAGTGAGGTGGAACTGCAGGCTGCTGAGTGAACCCAAGGGTGCCCCCGAGCATCGCCACCTGCGTCTCCTGAACCCCCCACCCCCTTCCTCCAATCACCTCTTTTGACACCCCAAAGGGCCGCCGAGGGTGCCCATGGGCACACGGGGTGTGTTCATTACGTACGATAAGAGGCTGTAAATTACCGGGCTGCATCGCTGCCAAGACCAGAACTGGCTTCGGTCCTCTCTCTTTCTTTCTTTCTCTCTCTCTGTCTGGCTGTAACGCTATCAAATACAGCTGCGAACACAAAACAACCCTGCCACAGCAGACAGCAAATTGGCTCCGAGTTAAAAACGCACACACACACTCAGACACTTACACACAGACAGTGCACAACAACAGAATATTAATGAAGGCCTGTTCTGTAAACAGAGTGTATATGTTCTGTGTGTGCGCACTGCTTAGGAAGAGAAATAGCACAGCTGCTCTGACTGCCACTTCCAC